TTTTGGGAATGACAGTGCAGGTTTCAAATTGCCATTTTACAAAGAACATTTGTTCATTCTTTTGATGCACATTTACCGGATGGAATACTGGTACCTTCTGCTTCAGGGGTGATCAGGTTGGTCAAAGTAAAGTCTTAGATGTGGAATATTGGTGTTGGTGCACTTCAAAACCTCTTTGTAAAGACTAAATTAACAGATAAGTTAATTTGTGGCAAAGATTTCAAAATGTATTTGTAGTTTTTTTAATACACATGTTATGCATAGATTTCAAAATATTTTTCTACCAAAATAAACTTATCTTTTAATTTCATTTTTTGGGGGGGAACTGTTTGAAAAGCTTTCATTTTTTCCCTACCTCTCAGAAATTCTTTGTACTTACTGTGTTTTAGAAGAGTCAGCTTAAATGGGAATTTTTCAGCAGAAATGAGAGGATGTGTGACAAGTATTGTAAGTTTCAAGGTGGATACAGAGATCTCTTGGTGACTGATACTTTTCCTTATTCATCTTAGCTTTTTTTTCGCTATTTAGAATTTTGTTTTTCAGAAAAGGTACCATTTTAGCATTGAAAAGACTGCTTGTTACTCTTAGAATCTCTTCAGCTAGATTTTTCTCCTTTCAAGTCTGAATTAGGAAAACATTCAAGAGTATCATAGCTGAATGAGTCCTTGAAAATTGTTGTCATTTTGCAGATGAGGAAATATAGGCTAAAGAATATATACATATAAAATATTTTATATATATATATTTTATATGTATAGGCTGCTCAGTCCCTCGTCCAAGGTTTCAGAAGTATTGAGTGGAGGACCTGATGGATAAGTACTGCCTTTGGCTGACTGGTGCTGAGCTCTTTACACTTTACAACACCTTTGTGGTCATAGAACATGAATGGGCATTTAAGATCACTTTTTTTTTCCCTTTCATTTTCGTGATTTTTTTTCCCCCCTCTACAAATTTAATGACTTTTTAAATTGAAAAGATAAAGTAAGACTGTCTTATTGGAATGGTTTAGTGATTCCAAGATTGCAAATAGCTTTTAATCCATGATCAAGTGAGTTTGAATGTGTTTCCCCAGGCATGAACTGAAAGATGTCTTATTTAAGCAAAAGCTGCTGCTTTGTTATTTGCTACGTCATCTAAATTTTGAAGTTCATCTTTCTCAAAACAATAATCCTCTCACTTGGACTATGTCATCTGAAGATTTAAATTTAATCTCAACATTTTAAATAGCACGTACAAGTATTAAGTAGTATTTGTCCTGTTATTTGTATACACCTTAACAATGATCTATTTGTCCTTTCTCTTTTTTTAAACACAGGTTCTGGGACCACACAAGAGCTCCAAATCCAGAGTAAGTTGTTTGGTCTTTCTTTTTTGCTATGAACAAACTGACTCTTCTTCACTTTTATAACTTCTGCAAGTTTATCCTTTTGCTTACCTCTGACATACTAGTCATTCAATGTGATTCTATGTAAATGTGTATTATGTTACATGCCTTATCTCTGCTGCAGTTAAGTTGTTAAAGTATTTGGCCAGTCAATCTGTTCATATCAGTTCAACTAGCATAGCCTGTATGTAGTTGAAATTTGGCAGATTGTAATTTAGAGTTTTCTCTAGGAAGCTCTGTAGGGTGGTTTCCTCACATTGTTAGTGTATTAGTTTCTTAGTCCCACTATAAAAGGCTTTAGTTAGCAAAAGGAGGGTTGTTCAGCAAAGACAAGGCAGAAAGTGAATCTTTGGAGAGGAAGGATGAAAGGCAGATAGGGAACTGGGGTTGAGCTGCACAGGAACTGAAAGTGAAGTTCTGCTTATACTTCCAAGATAACTAGATTGTGACATTGTTGCTCCATTCTGCAGGGTTCTCCTATCAGTTATGTAAATGATCTCTTGTCATTTGGGATGTGCTAATCTAAGTTGGCAGATTCTACTGTAGCCTGTCTTATCTGCGTCTCTGATGCTTACAAGATATAGGGATGTGGCAAAGTTATCAGTAGAGAGTTATGTGGGTGTAAAATCTCAAGCTTCCTTCAAAAGCTATGGGAAAACGCCTAATAACCAAATGTCACTTTCCATGTATATAATATGTCATGTGGCTACTTTTGATAAGCTGCTACATCTTAGAAAACTGAGAGAGAAGCTGGTGTTGTCACACAGGCATTCCATGGAGGACCCCTGGTAGTAACCTTAGCTGCTCTGCTTCTAATCCAGCTACATACTGTTGTGCTTGGGAAGGCATCAAATGACGTTCTGATTCCTTGGACCTCTGCCACCTGTGTGCAAGCCCTGGACTGAGGTGTTTCTGACTCCTGCTTTCAGTCTGGCCCAAACCCAGCCCCAGCTGTTAAGGCCTTTGAGGGATGAACCAGCAGATGGCAGATTCCTCTCTCTGGCTTCCAAGTCAATCAATTAGTCAACCTAAGGGGAAAAAAAATCTGACTCGTTCTGCACGTAAGCATGAGATTTGCTTACCCAATTACGTACCACGAGTCTTGCTTAGGTTTGACTCATGTCATTGCATCCTGAGCGTGTATATAACTGACTATGGATAGTTTCAGAACATACCTTTTTTTTTTTTTTATTAGTTTTCTGGACAGTGATTAGTCATATGCCACCTTGTACCTAATTAACCTTTCATAAAAGTTTGTTAACATCTTTTCCAGTGATTCAGAAGCAGAGGTGTATCTAAACTCTGATTTTACCAGGAAGGTGTCAACTATATCTGTTACTTTATTTATATGAAACCTGCTTAAGTGCAGCAATACTTTCTGTCATCTGGCAGAATCCTGGGCATAAGACACGTTATCTTAAAAGTGAAGGGGGTTGGAAACCCACCCTGTGGATCACTTCCACTCACAGGTGCAGTGAGACCATGAAATGTTGGGCTTGAACTTTTTTGCTTCTATTGTTCCTCTTGAAGGCTTTCCCTTCTACTTCTAAAACTAATCTCTCTGTGAGCTTCTGTGTTAGTGTTTTTTGCTGTCCTCCCCAGCAACCTCATGGAGACCTCTAAACTTGGAATGATGGGATGGCTCTTCTTCTCCACTGACTCCAGTTGGGAATATATAGATGTGTGTGTGTGTGTGTGTGTGTGTGTGAGAGAGAGAGAGAGAGAGAGAGAGAGAGAGAGAGAGAGAGAGAGAAACAATCTTTGGGTGGAAGCAGCCCTGGCTAGGGAGTGTGACATACTAGCTGAGGAAAACTTCACATCAAGACAGTCCTCACAAGAGCTGATAGCTGAATTCTGTCTGCTGGAAACAGTATTAACGGGGGCAGGAGTGGTGGGGAGGGAAATAATCTGTATTTTTGCTGGAGTGCTGGAGATGGCCAAGGACAGCCTGGGGAATGAGGCAGACTTTCCACTGAGAAGCTGTAGGACAGAATGGCTCGGAGCTTGTGAGAAGCAGTGGGATGGGTAGAAAACAGTAGTTGAAGAGCAGTAGGTTCTGACAGACGATAAAATAGTGGTGTGAATTGTTGCTTTTCTAAAGAATTGTTAGATTTTTTTTTTAAATCTAGGATGCTATTCTGTTTTTAAGTTATAGAAAGAAGGTGAAAACTCTTTATGCTTTACACAGACAGATGTGCATATCTTTAGGCAAATGAATTATATTTCCTTTTTGTAAAATCTTCCTGGCTTCTTAGTTTCCTATTATTTATAGGGCTATTTTCTATTCTTTATATTATGTTTCTTTCTTCCATATCTTTAATAATTTAAATGTATTGTTTTGGATCATCATATGAAAAAAATTAAATGAGCATTAAACTTTCTGTTCAGTGGTTCTGATAATATGTCATCACAGGAGATGATTTTATGGCATATTTTTAAATTTTCTAACTTGCAAGCCCATCTTGTACAGTTGGCTGATTGATTGGTTTTTCTAACTGTGGAAATCTAGTGGTCTTTTTTATGACGCATGACTGCCAAATTGTTTTATATTTGTTTGTTTGTTTCAGAAGCTCCAGGAATATTAGTGGAAGAACCTGATTTTTTTTGTTTTCCTATTTCTTGATTTCATAGCTAGGAGAGTCTTATATAAACAAAATTCAAAAACTGTTTTGTGTCACGGGCTTGGAATTTTAATTTCTGGCTGTAACATCTCCCTCATCCTTTTACCCCAATTTTTAGAAACAAGCTCACCTGATTGAAGTCTAATGAAAAAAAAAAGGGTGCATTGCTTGTACACTGTAACTCCCCAAACCAGTACTTCTTAATTGTCATTGTAGCCCTCATTAAGTCATGTGTTCACACAACCTCTTCTGGCCCTGTGTAGGTTATGAGGACCACTATATACAGTTGTACAAGTTGTGTTTCCATGTTAGAAGAAATCTCATAGCCCTGTCCTCGTGAGGACTTGCTTCTTTTGATTTCTCCTTGACCGGAGATGTTACATTCCCAACTTTAATCTAGGTTCTAGTGATAAAGAAATGCTAATGAAGCTTTTTTTCTGAAGGTTGTGGCTGACTGTAATTGGCTGTTGTATTTAACACTTTGGCATTGGATATAGCTTTGGTTTGGTCCCAAGGGCTTGTCTTTATTGCAAGCAAAGTTACGCGTTTAACTTTATTGTACTTATTTTTATGTTTTAATAAGTAAATGTTTCTAGTTGGAAGTCTTTCATTAATTCAGTTCACTGCATTGCTGCCCCTGCAGATCCCATAAATTATTTATTAACCACTATTTCTCAGATTCACTCTCTTTAACATGGGGGCATTAAAAGGCTCTATGTAGACAGTGTTCATTTAGAGCGCGTAGTACATTCTGAATCAATGCTAGCTATTACTTGAATCATCTGATAGCCTTTTTACCACCTTAGGCAAGAGTTAGAAGCTCCTGTGGTATCTGTGTTTACTTGCTTAACAAGAGGAAGTCTTAGTTAACGCCCAAGAGAAACCAAAGGAGAAACTTTGTTCTGTGTAGTACAATGCTGAAACTGAAGCTTGGGGTCCCACCCTTTTTGCTGATTTGCCAAAGGTCACTTGGCACTTATGAGCACTCAGAGGAATCTCCTCTCAGTGCTGCCTGGAGGAGTGCTTGGAGAAGTTTTGCCTGGATTGCGTGGGTATGTAAATTTGAATTTGTGAATGTTTTCTTTGCTAAGAAGGGCACTCAAAGACAGAATTATAGATGTTTGTAGATTTTGTAATATGTAGTGTTTTTAGTTCAAGTAATCCCTTTGACAGTTTTTAAAATTCTTATTTGAAAATTCCTATTTATTCCAGGAGCATTCTGAATTTGGCAAAACTGGAGGTATTCCAGTTTACACAGGACCTACTTCCTGTCTTCTTGACTACAGAGATGAGGGCTTAAAGGGTTTCATACCTGTGGGTCCTGGTGTTTGAGAGAATAATTTATCCCCTTATATCTAAGAAAAGTCTGTTGTTTCCCAGGCTATTAACTGTTGGATATATATAGATATCAAGTTTTCTTACAACTACTTTGAAATTGATCTTACCAGTAAAGTATTATGATTATCCTATAAATATTTACTATCTTGAACTGTTTATGCAGTACTAGCTGTAGTATGAAAATTTGTTTGTTAACCAGGTTTAGACTTCTTAAATTATTATTGGCTTTGAGTCCACAAGAAACACTGCCAATTTTCTATGTAAACATTTTACTTGGGACCTGAAATGTAGCTGAATATGTGTATTTAAAGTTTTTTTTTAAGTCCATGTGTATTAATGGAACTTGTAAATGTTTAAGTAGTCAATTAATAGAAGTTTTTAAAGAACAACTCTTTCCAAAACAAAGTTTGTAATTGCAATGTTTTGAACACCACATTTAAACTTAGTGACATGCATATCACTCTTTAATATGAAGAAGTCTGTGTATGTCTTTTATTTTTTTCCTTATTAATTTGTTATAGTTAATCTGATTAATGTTCTTTTCCGTCATTGTTCCGATACAGGTAATTAAGTTGAAGGCCTGTATTTGTGCTATTTAACCACAAACTAGGGCTGATAACATTGTACCACAAAATATCAGCTGGGGAACAAAAACAAAATAACTGGACAAGTTACTGTGTTGAAATTGGCATTGGGAAAGGTGGCGTTTTCTTCATTTTAGTGGCCACTGTGGTGGCAGTATTGAGCCTTCATTGAAAAGTATCCTTCTACCACTCTTATTTTCCTATAATGTATTTGTTCTTTTTTAAAGCCCTTCTGTGCCATTCATCATTCCACATGATTTTCATCTCCTTATACAAATATTGTATGCAGTTTTCTGGCAGCCTAAACAGATGCTGTTCCTTGAAGTGTTTCTGTCTCTGGCCAGGTTTCTTCTTAACATTGCTATAAAGCTTTGGACAGCCTACTGGCCAAATTCCAATGTAAACATCAGTATCGTGTGGGGTTTAAGCCTCTGTGTCATGTGCTGGAAATGGTATGTGGAACAGTTAGCTCTTTGACCCCGGACTCCTCAATTTTAGAAGCATATCCGCACTCCTGCTAAACTTGGCGTGTTTACCCAAGAGGTTTCTGTTTTCAGCGACTATCCTTGCAATTACTTATTTTCGATGTAAAGTAAATTGTATGTGAGAGGAATATACACAGTATACACATTGTGATAATGGCCATTTTAGTCTTACTTCTGTGTAAATAATTGTGAAATAATTTGTATAGAAGAATCTCATATTTAGTTTACATTTCACTGACATCATTTCTCATTAACTTATCAAGGTAAATATGAAATTTAATTGGGGAAAGGTCTCAGAGTTGCAAGGTAACAAAGGTAGCTCATTATATTTTATACTTGTTTTTTAAAAAGAATTATTTATTTATTTATTATTATTAATATTATTGATATTAATATTTTATTATTTATTTTATTAGAAAGGTAGATTTATAGAGAGAAGAAGAGATAGAGAAAAAGAGCTTCTATCTACTGGTTCACTCCCCAAAATGGTAGCAATGGCCAGAGCTGACCCCATCTGAAGCCAGGAACCAAGGGTCTTTTCCTGGTCTCCCACCGCTCAGGCCATCCTCTACTGCTTTCTCAGGCCGTAAGCAGGGGGCTTTAGTGGAGCAGCTGCGACATGAACTAGTGTCCATATGGCTTGCTAATACTTGAAGGTGGAATATTAGCCAGTTGAGCCAAGGCACCAACCCCATTTTACACTTTAAAATTTTAGCTTGGTTGAATTGCATAGAAATCTTGTACAAAAGATATAGTAAAATGGATTGTTGTATAGTCTTTAGATCATTTGTCATATAGTGTATTTGACATTAAGTATTATAGAATTTCATTATTAATGTTAGGATTGTGTACTTTCAGTACACAGTTTAATTTAATTTGGCATGTAAGCACTTAAAATCTACTTTTCAGCTGTATGAAGAACCGATTATATTTTGACTAAATTTGTGGTGTTTATATATAAATTTTTATGTTTTTGGATATGTAAATCTGACTTGAAGAAGTGTATGGTATTTTTCATCTTCAACATATTTTATTAAGTGTTGAAGTAATTTGTGAAAAATTGTAACTCTGTACTTGGATTGCTAAAAGATACCTGGGCTCCATTTTGTTCATTCAGAACTCAGGTTAAATTGTTCTGGTTAAAGGTTATCAGTGAATTTTCCATTTCCCATCGTATAAAATTCACTGTCCAATGTTATAACTTAATTGTAGTCATATGTCCTAAGGCCTGAGCTTCTAGTTATTTAGTGCTTTTTCTCACTTCCTTCCTATTTCTTTACTCCGTTTAAAAATCAGAAAGTCCCCTGCATATCTAAATCCAACCTCATCTAAAAGGTCTGTTGGCCACTGCCGTGATGTTTTTTTTGGATCCTCTCTCTTGACATTGAAAGTCATCTATTACACACTTTCTTCATGTTCTTCTGGTGCTTCTGTGTCCTAGTGTTTAGTTTTAGATGTGCTATAATAAATTACTCCTTCTATAAATTTTTAAACTCTGTGTCTCTCACTGTGATGCATTAGGAGTGATTCCGTTTTATGTCTCCTGTATTGCCTTAGATTTAGTGGATGCTCCTTATGAACATTTGTTGAAGAAATATGTGGCATGACATGAGAGTGAATTCCTGACTAGGAGATATTTTATTCCTCTGCTGGCATGGAAATTGGGGAACAGGGGACCAATGGTAGACCTAAACAAATGTGGTGTGGCTAAGTCCACTGTCCCCAGTAGGGAAGGCTGGAGAAGCAGTCATGGTTCCAGAAATGTTTCAGATTCTGTTGCCCAGGGTCTCAGTACTGACAGGGAAAGGACTGCACATTTAGGTAAACACCTTGCCTGATAGGAAATTGAAGAATAACACAGGCTTTCTGGACTACAGCTATGATTCAGAGAATGTTTTTTTCTGAGTTCATAGTTCAGGAATAAGTAGTGTCAGTTCTGCTATAATACTTGTTTTGAAAACTGGAAATTTGTTCCTACATGATTGATATGTGGCAACAATTTGAGCATAATACAAACTTCATTTTTGCTTATGTATGATTTCATTTGAGAAATGGCAGGTGAACAGAAAATTCACCTTGCTGAACTGGACGCGAAGTAATGCAGAGAGTGCCACAGTCTCCTCCAAGACGTCTCCCAGCTGCCTTGTTAGCCTACATGGTAGGAGCCGCAATATCCCGTGTTTTTGTGTTATGCCCTCCCCTAGGTTTCACAGAACCTTTCCCACATCGTTTCTCAGTAAGTCATAAGCCACACCATTTGACATCCAGTTCCACAAGCAGACTTCAGGCCTATTTTGAAGTAATGTTCTAACATTATAATTTTTATTTGCTATTTTAGCTTTTTACCGTCTTTTAAAAGCTATGCTGTAGTCTTGATTGGGTTCTTTTCATGTGTCACTGACTGTATTTGAATGTCGGGCCTCTAAGTTTGTTTTTTACCATCAGTGCGGTGGCATTAATTAATTGATTCTTCATAGCGTTGTGATTTTTAGGATGACACATGTCACATTATGATAGAACCGAGTGTGCTCATTGGAGATCTATAGAAAGTGAACTGATTGTTCTCTTTCCTTATTTAATGGGAAAGCACACTAAATAATGCCTATTAAGAGGAACAAAGTATAACAGAGCCAAGTGTCAGAGAACTTGTTTAACCATCGTTACAGAAAAAATACATAGCATATTGATGAAAATAAATGGATAGGCTTAAACGTGAGTAGAGCTTGAGGTCTCCTGAAGCAAAACATAATAAAATCTTTGAATAATAATGTTGTGTTTAATGTGTTATAAGCCTTTACCATATGCTATCACCATGACACAATCTTGACATGGATTATGTCATAAACCCCTGTAAAATAGATATTATTGTCCACATTTTTAAAAAAGGAAAATGAGACTTAAAGGAGTTCATTAACTTGCCCAAGGTCAGTGTTTCACAAATATAAGTGATAGAGCCAGCTCTTAAGGCAAGGCAATTTTGTGTCTTGATCTTAGTAGTCTCTTAGAGTGCTTTGTAAATAAGTAAGTAATTTCCACAATGGCTATGTGTCTGATTATAATCTAAGGTTGTTTTGACCCCTGTGATACACTAAGAACTAAATGTACAGGCTAAAAAAAGTCACAGGTCAGTGGAGGCAAGGCAATCATAGAAATGAATTGTGACACCTAATTCAGAGCTGCTTTTCTTGAACTTCTTCAGAATAAGGAGAGAAAAATTAGAGAATTAGGGATCATTAAGTGAACCAAACTGTAAGAGAGGCAAAAAATGATTGTGTTATAAGTTAGGGGGAAAATGAAAAGTGGATTTGTAACAATACCTTAGCATTGGAAGGGAAAGACCTAGTGAAGAATGGTCACTTGGGGCTTCTAGTGCATCAGGTTCCCCGAAGGGAACTAAATCCACCAGTCTCGATGCAAGGCTACAGTAATAGAAGTCTGAGGCCCTGAACATTCGCTACTGATTGTAAATCCTGATTAGCAGTGGACTCAAATCAGTGGGGAGAGCATGGCACGAGGGATCCCTGTCTTTTCTCTTTGGTAGCATCAACGTGTATTTCTGTAAAATAGTTACACTCAGGCACATACTTAACATAAGTTTGAGAAACAGGAAGGAAGCAGTTCTTCAGTTGAGTATGGAGTGGAATG